TTTTTTTTTTTTTTTTTTTTTTTCAAACGGATATTGTCTGAGATTAAAGGGGTCGAAAAACTCAGAAGTTCTTTTCGATTAATATCACCAATTTACGAAAAATAAACTCATTTTTGACAAGCAACCACATCTCTTCACTTTCCAACGTTTGATCAACCTCATCACACAGCCGTCGCTCTCACCCCTATTGTCAAATCAGCCCAATGCTAAAATTGCAGTACGGTCTTGGCGTAGCTAGCAAAAGGATACACGTGTGACTACGACCGTTTTACCGTCCGTATATACAAAATATATAAATGGAACTGAGATGATGTTCATAAGATGTATTTTACGCCAATACATTAAATTGTGATCGGAAATGTCTTCATTCTTTCTTCTCTATTCTCAAAATCGTGCCGTTTCAAACACTGCTGTGACCAGTTCTTTACTTTTGACTATTTAAAGATCCAACGAAAACAATCAATGTGTCGACTTCTGTCCAAAATTTTGGAATCAGCCAGATTTAAAAAGTAGAGAATGTGTGTTGGTCATGCATACACCAACTTACACACAGTCACACACACACCCTCCACTCCTCGTGACTAGCTAATTCTCACCTATCACCCAGACATTATAATTATGGCCTTCAAACAGACAAAACTCCCCCCCCCCCTTGTGATCTTTCCCCCTCATCTCTCCCACGCTCCCTCTTCTCTCCCCCACATGTCAGCGGCTCTCTCCTCCCTTTTTCCATCTGTTTCCATCTGTCCTCATTGGGATCAGACTGATACATGAGCTCAACACTAGCTTTTTATTAAAACCACCGGTCGATCAGTGTCTCTCCCCTCTGATATGATGGGTGTGATGCAGTTTGATTAATTACACATTTAGTGTAGAAATTATCAAACTATTTGTCTGTAGGCAGTCCCACATTTTGATGTGATCAGGTAGGTATGTGCATGGTCCTCATCCGTCTTGTACTGTTCCTCACTTCTTCCCACCATTGATATCCAATGTTTGTGCTCTAATTAGACTAACAGTCGTTCCGTCCTTCCTCACTGATTATTTGAATTGATAGCCAAGACTTTTTTCTGTCGGAGATGAGTTTTTTATTTTGCACATTGGATCCTCTGTGAAAGTGAGAACTGCAACATAATGCGGCCTCTGATATGTGTGTGAGTGGAATACCTGACGTGCCCTGTTGCTGACTTCTCTTTCATTTCGTCCTCTCTTCTTCTTTCTCTCCTGTCTGCGTGGTGGCTTTCCAAACCACGACCATAGACTATCGTGAGTAACTCTTTTAACTGCCACCCACTGTTCTTCCTTGTCGCTCTTCCTTTACTCTGTCTGTTGGGTATCTTCAACCCTTTTCCTTGTGTGACTTTGTGCTATTCAGTCTGCTATGTCCTTAACCCCCTACCCCGCCACTCCCCGACCTCAGTGCCTGCTAGACTGGGTGTTTGAAGTTATAGAGTCAGTCAACAGTCAACCCAAGAGCAGGGAAGGTAGCGTACCGTAGGAATGAAATCAGCAATACACTGATAAGTGATCAAGTTAAATTATCGAGGTGTTGGTGTAGCTCCTCCAAATGGTGACAGTTGCTTCAAGGTGCGATGTGTAAGATCTGGCCACACGCTCCTGACAAATAGGGGGTCAGGATTTCACCTCTATTACTGGGTCCATACAATCTAAATGTACAGCCATCATCTATCTATCTATCTGTCTATCTGTCTGTCTGTCTGTCTATCTATCTATCTATCTGTTTTTTTGCATGTTTGTCACACTTAAATGTTTCAGATCATCAAACAAATTTAAATATTAGACAAAGATAACACAAGTAAACACAAAATGCAGTTTTTAAATGAAGGTTTTTATTATTAAGGGGAAAAAAAAATCCAAGCCTACATGGCCCTGTGTGAAAAAGTGATTGCCCACCCCTGTTAAAACATAAATTAACTGTGGTTTATCACATCTTTTGTAAAGTTGAGTTAAATTTCTCTAGCCACACCCAGGCCTGATTACTGCCACACCTGTTCTCAATCAAGAAATCACTTAAATAGGACCTGCCTGACAAAGTGAGGTAGACCAAAAGATCTGCAAAAGCTAGACAACATGCTGTGATCCAAATAAATTCAGGAACAAATGAGAAACAAAGTAATTGAGATCTATCAGTCTGGAAAAGGTTACAAAGCCATTTCTAAAGCTTTGGGACTCCAGC